AAACATCTAAAATTACAGATATTTGTCTTATTAATTTCCTAATTCTTATAAAACTTAGTGATTGTAAAATATATTTTTCTAAGTTAAGTCGTTATACATAATTTAGTTTGTAGTTGTTTCTTTGTATATAACTTACAATACTTAAATTTCCAAATGTGATGTAAATAGTAAAAAAAATTATTGCGATCGTGAAATATTTTGAATCTTCGTGTTTTCAAACATATCTCCTCATTAATAAGTCTGTGAATAGTCTAGTATAAAACCGAAAAGTTATCGGAGACTAAAATTACATAAGTACCTACTATATTGATGTATCTACTAGCATACATACTTATATGCTTAGAATGTTACTGCAAGTTTTTCGTCAAAATCACTAGCGGATCCAGGATTTAATTTTGGGGAGCTTCGGCCCGAAACCTTTTTTTTTCACAAAAATGACGATAATTACTTTGGAAAAACAGAAAGAAACCAACTACCTTAAACTATGGTGTTTAAGTTATTCCTTAAGTACTTTTAAATGTAATTACACGAACAATAATACTTTAAGAGTATTTTTTAATTTTTTTTTCCATAAAACATGGTTATATTTTTCCATTTTGGGGGGGGGGACTTCAACCCGAAAGCCCCCTCCCCCCGTAGATCCGCCCTTGGTCAAAATCGACTGATCGAAATTCATACTTCATGTTATCGATTGTAAACATTTGTGGGCGGGGTGGCCGAATGGGATAACGCGTGTGCACTGCACCGTCGTTGCCCGGCAACCTGATACATGAGATTTGATAAAAAAAATAGTAACGAATTCGCGTCCCGGTGCCCAAAGGAGTTTTTAAATCCCCGCCCACACTCTCTGGCCCGGGAAAACCCCCGTATAGCCTTAAAGGCGAGGTAGGGGAGGACAGAAAAAAAAAAAGATTGTAAACATTTGTACTGTTCTCTAAAAACTGCCTTGACGATTTTAATAAAATTCGTCATGTTCATTTAAATTGGAATTTTCTTAAATATCATGTAAAAACTAACCTTAATAAAATTACCTGAGAGAATAACCTTCTTTTTTTTATCTAAAGTACTTTTAATAATGTTAATTAGAAATAGCTAAAGATATCCCATTTTGATAGTGATACAAAAAGAACACATGTAAGCTATTGAAGAATCTCATAACTAACTAAAGGATAAAATAATATGAATATTTAATCAGGGGTACACATTTCCCCAAGGTATATGGCGCAAAACTCATCTCCTCTCTCATGAAATTTTATTACACTCCTCTTTTTAATAATAATACAAGGAAAAATAGAATCAGAAAAATTGTAAATTATTATCAAATACACATGGTCTATTCCATAGGTGGGGAACTTCGTTGTCATTAGACATAATAGTTTATAGTTTACTGTGGCTATTTTTATTAATACATACACTCATATACTTATATTCAGTTTCATTGAAGCGAAGGATGGTGGAGATGATCAATCAAAATAAAAAACAGTAAAAATAAATAATTATATTTATTTTTATATTTGCTGACGTTCAGGCCCGAAGTTCAGGCTTTCATCAAGGCTGTTCAATCCAAGAAGTCTGGAAAGACAAATACTTCAGTATGGTTTCAATGTTGTGCTAATCAGAAGATTCTGAAGTTTTGAAGGTATTTTTGTCTATAGTCATTGTATACTGGGCAGTGAAGGAGAATGTGATGTAGACTATTATAGATAAATTGACTGCATGATATACAAGTTTCTTTAGAGTCAATCGAAATTGTTTTTTGCACAGATTCTGATATGTTCTGGATTTGCAACTCTTAATTGACTAACACATCTCGATTTCTTTATGTGGACTTTAAATGTAAGGTGCGTTTCGGGATCGGGAGCATTATAACTGCATAACATTCTGTATAAACGGTATAGTTCGTGAGTTTAAAGTTCTTTGTATGTCAGTTGAGAAATAATGGTTGTGTGCTTTTTCAAGGATGTCGTATTTGTATCGAAGAAGTCGATACTAAGTAGAAGTAGATACTATCGATGGTAAAATATCGAATATCGAAAGAAATATATCGCCGCAGACTACTATTGGTTGAGATATTTAGGCTGAGATTTTCCTCAAGGCTTAGAGTAAAAACTAGTAACAGGCTAAATAACTGGTTCCTTTTAGGGTGTTACCAGTTATTGTGAAGTAACAGGGTAAAGTTAAGAGCCAACCCTACAAGCTCGTAGTACGTTTCCATTCCGTTCCCGTGCACTATCCCCCGGGATAGATCTCAAATTCGAATCCTGGATGCGAACTGCATGGCACAGGCCTCTCCCACCTGGCCTACGGGCGGTGCCTTTGATCTAACAGCCAGGTGACAGCTCGCAATAGCTACCTTGTGAAAGAGGTCTACGTGTCCCGACTGGAAGTGATGTCTCTGTGAGGATCGCCGAAGACATTGCGCGTCGAACTGGAACGGTTCCAATCCGCTCGAGATATAGGTTTCTTTTTCTTATATCTACCGCCACTGCAGTCTTTGTTCTGACCGCGTTTTTGGCAATCAACTGCGTCTGTGTGCAACTTATGTGCAAAAGAAAAAGAAAAAAAAAATTGAATATTTAATAGTTGACCGTTGAAGGAGATGGTCCAGGGTGGCGGTCATAAATAGGCTAAATAGTGGCAAAACTATTTTATTAAAAGAGAACGTTTCGACCCGACTATGCAGGTCTTCTTCAGGGCTAGAACGGACAAGATACAAAAAGATAGAAAATTGTGGATGTTACATAATATTTAGACAAAAAAATTATAAACAATCTGAATAAGCTTATTAAAATTAAAAACAGTAAGTACATTAAAATGAGTAAGCTAAGTAACAAGATCCTAAACTGAAATAAATAGATGGTAACAATTGTTGTAGATCTACAGGAGAGATTGACAGAAAAGGGAAAAGGATATAATATGAAAAATAGACAAAGGAATCTATAGAACGAAAGGAAAAAAGAAAACCAAAAAATAAAATAAATAAGTAAATAAAATTAGAAGAATAAAATTAGAAACTTAGAGGCTTGTTCAACTATTTTTTTATATAAGGCAATTACTATAGACATTTTTTTTTTAAATATGGCAAATTCAAAAAACGGCTAATTATAGGAACAATACTCATGCTTTTAGATTTTAATATTTTTCCTTAGACCTTGTTCCATATGTCGTTGATTTGGAACGATCCAGATACCTGTCCTTTCATGATAAATTCCCACACTCATTCGAATCCATTTTTTTGCCAGCCTTGCCTCCTATGTTTATAATAATCCTTCCTAGCGTCTGAAAAGAAGATGACATTGTGATCTTCTTATTAAGTTTATGAAGTTCGAACTTTAAGACAATTTATTAATAATATGGAAACGCACTAAAATTAGATATATTATGAGAAAGAAATTCATTATAAATTCATTGAAAGTCATTATAACGAATACCAGCAGTGTCTTACCTGAAATTTGATATCCCTGTGTTAATTCAAGAGAATAAAATAAATTTGTGTACAGATCCGCCTGGTTAGCCTTGCTATTGGAACTTATTATAATAATGATTGTTTATGGAGTGCAAACCTTAGTACCTCCACAAGTCTATTCATGTAATTGTTCTTGATTTTTTTCACCTTTACAGGTTGTATTTATTTAATTTCAATAAAAACAATTTTTTAATAAATTACTACATCTTAAAACATTCTTACATTTAGTAGCTTTAAATGCGTTATAATTTAAAAAGAGTAAGTAATTTGAATGTTTAAGTATTCAGCACAGTCACTTACAGAAAGCAATAGGGACTCCTATGTATTGAATATAGCAAATAAGTTTTTAAAACTTAATACGGGCTGCGGAAAACAAAATTGGAATATCCTGACACCAAACACATCAGGTATCTGCCTGTAACCTGTAAGGACCGACCTATACCTGGATCCTGGGGAAGGCTCAGAGTAAAACCTAGTAACGGGATAAGTAACTGGTTCCTTTTAGGGTGTTACCAGTTATTGTGAAGTAATAGGGTGAAATTAAGAACCAATGAAAACCATGCTTACCCCTCCCTGAATATTTCTATAAAATCTCCTGGGAAGTAAGAAAAGAGGGCTTATGTTAGTTCTCGGCCTTGAGAATAGGTCAGATGTTTTCTTCCGGCTTGGACACTGAAGCCTTGGCCCTCTATAGACCACGGAGATGGGATCCTGGCAGTTCTTGGACCTGGGCTTAACGAGATGACCTCGGATCAGCAGATGCAGCGATGAAACATGCCTTAACTACATCACTTCACATACCATAATAGCTAAGTTGTAATTTTCAATCCTAATTTTAAAATATTTCATGGCGATAATTCTCAAACAGTGCATCTATCTGAATTCACAATCATTGATTAAATTCATTGAATAATGTTTTTAGTTTTTTGTAAATGTAATTTGCATATATAGTTTAATAAACATAGAAATAAAATAAGTTTTTAAGTAAAAGTTATTTCAATTCTGCCACCCATATATATCATGATGATCACAGGTAATTTTGGTAACTAGAAAGCATGATAAACACAAACCAGCCTTTGAGAAAAAAAATTCAATTAATTAATAATGGACCAAATATATTTTAGATCCTAATTTGTTTTACTATTTTTTTTATTAAACCTTTCTGCGTAATTATCATCAATAATTATCCAATGGTATCCCAAATAAATTTTAAGACCCCAAAACGTAGCAGAACTAATGAAAAAAAAAACTTATTTTGGAGGGAGTGGGGATGTTCAGCCTGAAAATCTCCACTCCTGTTTTTAAGTCCTAAGGCAGGTATGTTTGTAGGCAGGTATGAAAATCTGAACAGTTATTCTTTCCTAATTTTTTTTTTATTTATTTATGACGCCCATAAATAAATATAATCCCCTCTCCAGACAATTATATTATATTTCTATTATCTCATTTATCTATAAGACTTGTTATTTTTTATAGAAGTTAGTTTATAGGAGTTAGTTACTGATCTCAAAGAACTTGATATGAATAGGTGTCACTTTATATGAAAATAACCTGTATACCGGTGATTATGGACAAAAAAACGTCTAATGAAGGCATATATTCAGTTGCAGATAACACATAAACTATTTAGCTCCAGTAATAAGATTCAGTATTTAAATAGGAACTACACCTTCGTTTGCTTAGAAACGAAAGATAACAGTTATCAGTCTGACAGTAGCAACGGTATGATGTCAATTAGCTTTGACATTATATTGAGAACTCTAATCGTTTCTTCTAGAGATAACCCGTTATTTAAATATAACCGGTTTCTCTTTTATTTGTTATTTGTCACGGCAAGCATGGCCCGCGTACTTCCTCAGGTCTTAATATTCTTTCTTATTGCAGGTAAAATATATGTATTTCTTCTTTTTTTTTTTTTATTAAGATATACTAGGTTTAGCTTGTTTTAAGATGGAAAGTTAAAAATTAGATAATATATTAGTGTATATTAGGTAATATATAGCATAGGAAATACATTTAATGTTAATGTGTATGGACAATATTGTTATTCTTAAGGCACTTCGTCCCAGAATAAAGTTGATTCTTCTTCTACTTTAGGGACTTCATTGCTGAGTCTTGCCATATTTTAACAAGTAAAAAGTAATTCTATTGTTTAGTAGTTACGTAACGGAATAAAATATAATTTGAGCATCAATAGAATATTTTCTTTGCTACATTATTTTCTCATATTATAAGTTTTTGAACATTTTGCAATTTATTTTATGATATATTATGTAATATATAAGATATATATTCTACTATAATTTTAAAAAGCTAAGCTGCAGGAGCCATATAAAAATTTGCAAGGTTTATGGGGATGAAACCTTAAATGAATGTACGTGTCAAAATTATTTTGATGATGCTCCACAGTTTGGTCGCCAACAATGAATTGATTAAAAGCTCTTCGATTAAAATCTAGCCTGATAAGAACGAGAAATGACTATTGCCCTACATATGTAATAAAATGAAATGAAAACATATTTTATTATTCTGGAACTTTTGTCCCTGTAGAACAAATTATAAATACAGCGTAAATGCCAATGTGGTCATACATAAATTTGATATTTACAATAATAGTTAATTAAAAATAAAGATACAGAAAGAAAGTGAGAGAGGGAGAAAAAAAGAAAGAAAAGCATACATATATATATATATATATATATATATATATATATATATATATATAATATATATATATATATATATATATATATATATATATATATATATAAAACAAACATAGGAAACTACAATAACATAAGTAAATAGAAATAGTCTCTGGTATATTTAAATAGTTTTCTGAGGTACATTTCATGTTGGGAAAGGACTAGGTATTTAAAGAGGAAAGGTTTTGAAAGAGAAAACTGGTTGTGCGTGTCGAATATCAGCAAGGATGGAATTCCAGAGGGAGGCGTCTTAAATTACAAAGGATTTGTCAAACGCAGCAGTTCGGTGAGGAGAAGAATAGAGGTCGGAAGTACGTGATCTATTGGGGCGGGTTTCAATGGAGTGTTTAAATTGTTAGCTATGAAAAATATATATGGGTCTATGAGTTCTAATGATCTGGTACAAAAAGGTAGCTAGGAAGTACTGACTGCCGTAAGATGGATAGAGCCACTTCAACTCGTTGTAATACTGGGTAATATGCGTATCTCTTGAGATTCCGAAAACAAAACATATTAAGAAATTCATTAGGCGTTTAAGTTTGGCTTCGAATTCTCCCGAGGGTCTACAGTACACCATACAGCAATAGTCAAAGTGGGGGAAAACAAAAGAGGAAACTAGGAGCTGCAAAGTGTTATATGGAAGTAGAGAGAGGCATATGCCGTACACAAGAGTAGAATATCATATGCAAAAACTCTATTATCCAGCTTTAAGGTTTAGATTCACCATTCTCTAGCTGAATTAAACTTAGCTACAATCATATACATGGAACTTTTTGTTTCACCATCTCTATTCACCCTACCTATCTCCAAGTGACTACTACTTATTTATTTCTATCTCTGCTGAACTCCTTGAATCGAAGGCGATTCCAAAACAAGCAGGTCATCAAAAACAACTTGATCAATTCTTTAAAAGTAAACCTCAAATGTTCTATGAGCGTAGCATTGTGCAGTTAGTGGCAGGTTGAGAACAAGTCATACATACATTTACATTCATGATACATTTCAGATCGAAATATATTTTATATCTATAATATACTGATTTTATTTTAATCTGAAAAATTGAAAGGACTTTTTTGCCAGTACGATACTTGTAAATTTAAATATCTATCTAAACTTGTTTCTGCTCAGTAGTAGAAATTCGACCATAATCATTATTGAACATTTGAGGAAAACACAAACGAATTCGTATCTTTCCACCATTTTGTTTTCTATTTTTATATATTCGTACATTCACTTTTATATTATCTTACAAAAGAAAACAGTACTGTACCATTTGTTTACTTTCTGAGTTATTGGCTAGTAAAAATGTTAATCCATCGTTACATTTTTTAAAAAATATTTGAACTTACTTTGCTCATTTAGAGAAAACATGAAGACAATTTTTTTTTTCGATTGCGTTCAATATTCGTATAATATTGATAATCTCAATTTGGTTTACTATATGAAATCATTCCTGAATTGAATTGCAACATTGTGTCTAAATTTCAAAGCAATCGGTGAAGAACTTCTACAAATTATCGATTTTGAAAAAACTAACCATTACATTTTTATTTTCACTTACCTATATACGAGTAGTTAGGAAAATTATTACGATTGTTAAATTTTTTTAATTTAACTCAGTTTTCAACTTAATAACACGTTTTAAGGTCCCTTGAGTCCCAATAATCACGCCCCACAAAATGGTCTATGTGTGGGGGAACAGCCTAGTTCAAAATCGAAAAGTCGCACGAAACTGACATTAGGTATTTAAGGTTTTATGTGCCTGGGATGTTGCGGCAACTTTTTCATCAAAAGCGGCTAACCGAAAGTGGCACTTAATATAAACGATGTTACACATATTTACAATTTTCTTAAACACTATTCTAACGATTTGATTAAACTAACTAGATCAATGTATTATAAAGTGATTTTTAGTTTAAGGTAGGTCTTATGCTCTGATGTTCTTTTACAGGGTTTAAATACTGAATTTCCGAAATTTCTTTATATAAAGTATCTTTAATGCTTGTTATTTTTCTGAGACAAAACTACTTAGCTCGCGCATCTTGTCCCTGAATTTAAAGACTAGAATCTATAAAACCGTGACCGCTTATATTAAGGTATGAGCAATGTCTTAAGGTTTGATATTGAAAATAAAGCATTGCGTAGAATATTCGGACCGAAGAAGGATGAGTTAACTGGAGAGTTCAGACGGTTACACAACGCCGAATTGCGTGAACTGTATCCGGTTAGTATAATTGAAGTGAAAGGCTTGATAACGAAAGAATGCTAAAAGGTTAATATTTGCTGTACCGAATGTTAAGCATCCAAGGGTAAGACGGAGGCGAAGGTGGTAAGATTAAGTTAAAGCCGATCTCAAAGGACTGGGTTTGGACGGCGAATGGTGGAGGAAGGTGTGTAATAAGCGATTGGTGGTGTCGGCATCGAACTTTCGGGTTCGTAAGTCTATTATTATTTATTTATTTATTATTATTAAAGTATCTTTAATTTTATTTAATTAAGTAATTAACCATTTCACATTGTAACAGCTAACATAAAAAAGATAAATACAAATTTTAACGAATTTGATACATAACTAACTGATAAATAAGGGTTAATACTTCTGGATTGATGGACGGGTTTATCTGTCAAAGCGGAAACAGCCGAGGGTTTGGACCCCGATTTGGAAGCCCGACTTTTGCCGATCCTTCTCCTCTTAAACTACTCACATCTGTACAATCTTACCTAAGTAACACATTCAAAATGGACTTTTCGTTTTCGAGCTTGAGTGTCCACAGACACACAGACCATTTTTCGGGACTTGGTTATTTGGACTCAGGGTACCCCAAAACATGTATTTCCGTTAAAACTCAGATTCAAAAATTTTCTTGATCGCAATACTTACCCTTACTATATATTACATATATACATAAGTGAAAGTAAAAAGACTGAACTGTTTTGCCTTCACCTTCATATGTACATGCCATTGCCTATATATATATATATATATATATATATATATATATATATATATATATATATATATATATATCTGTTATATTGCAGCTGGTGCATCGGCGAACACGAGGAAGAAGAGGAACCTGGAGTTGTTGCTGGAGCCCCTGCTCCTGATCGAGCGGCTGAGAGCAGAGGCCGAACTTAGACCACTCCTGCCAGGTTCCGGAGGGCTCCTCCATGGCTCTTCTTCCGACGGGCACAGTCATCAGTCTTCAGTTACTGAAGTAACAACCCAGGGTTCATCGGACCACGGTGAGCATCATGGTGAAAGCAACGAGCATCAGTCCAACAGCACTGAGCATCAATCCAACAACACCGAGCATCAGTCCAACAACACCGATCATCAATCCAACGGCGATCATGGGAGCAAAGAGAAGCACAAGCATAAGATGCATCACCACCACAAACACCACGGGGGAGGGGGGCACTGATATCGAGTTTGTATTCGATTCCTATTGTCTTTCTTAAATTAATTTTTTTTTTTATATTCAATATTACATATATTTTATTTATTGTTATGATATTATCGCGTTTTATGATAATATTGATTTTGAAATGTTTCAGCACATAAGATATTAAAAGTTTGAATAGATTTAATTTAAATTATACAAATAATTATTCATAATACCTTAGAGCTTTTTTTTAATTTATTAATTTGTTATTTTATTTAACACGTTTTGTATTATTATATTTTAGTTATGTATATATTTTTTTTTTCATTTCTTCCTTGTATTCCTGCTAATCAGCTGTTCATTAAAAACTTCCTTAGCTCTGTTAATAGAACCTTCTCTTTCCTTCAGTATGTATTTGGATGGCTTCCTTCGAGAAAAAAAGGTGGCCTTCAAAAATATTGATCTGTTTGGCGTGACCTACACCCCCAAACGTCCCAATATTTTTTTAGGTCACCTTTTTTCTCGATTTTTTGATCAAATTATCTTACGATCCAAGTTTGCCCCCTCTACAGATTGAAAACCCCCAAATTCCAAACGTTTTCGTAAATAAAATATTTATAGGTTACGATGAGATTAAACTATTGACGAAGTTTCAGGTGGATAATAATAATTCCATAAAAACGGGTCTGTACCACGGACTATATACTGTCCCACATATTTGTTCTTGTTACTATCATTAACAACCATAGCAACCGCTATTATTATATATCATGAGAACAAGGTTTCTCCTTTATAACAACAACTGTTGTTAACTCTTATGTTGCTGCTACATATGTTTTTAAATATTTATGTCGCATTTTTTTCAACATGCAATAAAAATTCTACCTTCACTTATTTTCAACTTATGCAAAATACAGGGATATCTGCTTACACCAATGTAATAGTTGATGGCAGAGAATGGTGTCCTAGATACGTCGTGGTATATCAAATAGTTCCAGAACAATGGAACTAGCGTTGAAAGAGAATAAGGTTATCTTCATAGCTAAGGCAGTTCTCTTGGAAGTGATATGATGCTTCAACAAGATGGCAAATGGAAATTCAAAACTTTGTTGATGATAATAAAATAGTGTGTTGATATATATCTATCAGTTAAAAAAAAAAGAGATATGTACATGAAGACTTTAAAAAAATATGATAATTTACAGAGATATTTATCATTTATTTACTCTGACAGAAATAAAGAATTTATCCACTGTCATTAATCAGATAGAGTTTATACTCTATTTTATATAAAAAATTAACCTACCTTGTGAGATATCGTTGTAGAAAGCAAATATTTTATTTATTCTGGGGCAAATGCTTTTGAAATAAAATACTATACCATAACAAATTTTGGGTTTTTGAGTGAAAATATCTGGTGTGTCCACTCACACGACTGTCCTACCTATTTCAGAAAAGTTTCTATATCTTTACATAAGTTCATGAAGAAACAAAAAAAATTGAACTAGATTTATTTTCCTGAAAATTGATCAAAGAAAAGATTTGAAATTGATTTATTTGATAAACTAAAGCAATGTAAATCGACTTTAGGTAGATCAGTGTGAAAATTTCAATACTCTCTAATATTGCTGATCAAAAAAAATTTTCCATAGCTTAGTATTGTCAAACAATAATTTCTGTTAAAAGTAGAGAAAATAGTGAAGCTTGTGTATGCGGCAACTAAGATGATGCGGGCAACAGATTTTCTTACTTTCAGTTCGTCATTTTTTTTCTCTCATTCACCAGGATATGAACCCGTAAACATATATTGAAAATTGAATAACTGTAACTTCGTTAATAGTTGTCCAAAATGAACGATTTTTATATGGCTTTGTAGGGAACATCATTACCTTTCAAACGAAACGGCGTATATTTTTATAAAATTTTAAAATATTTATAAATCTTGGCACAGACAGACCAATGGCTAAAAATATGTTTTTTTGGACTCAGGGGGATCTGAAACGTCGGAAATTTTACCCGATTGCAATACTTTCCTTACCTAGTTAGGTAGGAAAGTAAAGAGGGAGATGTACGTGAAGACTTTAAAAAAATATGATAATTTACAGTGATATTTATCATTTATTTACTCTAACAGAAACACACAATTTGGTCCACTGTCATTAATCAGGTAGAGTATAAAAAAAAATTAACCTACCTTGTGATATATCAATCTTTGTTGAAAAAAAATTATTTTATTTTATTTATTCCGAAGCAAATACTTTTGAAATAAACAAATTTTGGGCTTTGGAGCCCTGAGGTCTATAAGAAAAATAATAAAAAAAGAGCAATAATATAAAATTATAATTTATCTTCTAACTTGAACCGCTTGAAAAAATAAAATGTTTACAATTGGATACTTAATAAATAGGAATTGTTTGAACATACTGGATTTAAAGGTAGAGAGGTTTATCACTGCATATTTGAGGAGGTTTTATTTCAAATTATATGGCATATGTTGTTAGTTTTTAATTCATAAAAATATATAACTTAGAAGAACAGGAACGGATATTGCAGAAGTAAACATAGAATTTGAACTGAAGGAACTCGAAAATGGAAGAGGAAGGATGCTAGAAAATACTCACGATGGTAGAATGAATAAAGCCTATTCAACTCTTCATAAAAATGGGAAACAGAGGTGTCCCAGAGGATCTTGAAGATGAATCGTACAAAGCAGTTATCCCAGCGGCATCCCTTCCTTTCTTGAATTTAGTATCTTTTATGCGAAGAAATCCCTCATCTAGGAAATCCTTTTGAGCCTCCTAAGAGTGTTTTCGGGTATATTAATTACCCATACCCATATATACTTTTTATAAGTGTGTTAGTATGTCCATGTAAGTTATTGTGAAATCGTTTGTAGTGTGTTCGTATGTTTTTGTTACCTGTTGGCATTTGAAGGTCTTTATGTAAAGTAATGTTTGTTGACGTACCCTGAAGCTTTAGTTATGGTCGTAAAAATTTTTGACTGAAAAGTTGTAGTGTTCGTACGTGGGTCGTTTTGGTTGTCCCATAAATTTGTGAAGCGTAGGTCCATAAGGGCTTAAGTAGGTAAATGTGATTGTTCAGTTTTTGTTTTAGGTTTAATTTTGAGGTTCTTGAGAGAAGTGAATATCTTAGGTTTAACGTTTTCTTTTGTTTGTTGATATGTGGGTCCCATGTCTTTCTTCTGTCGAATGTCAGTCAGAATTTTATCTGTTTGAGGCATTTCGTGCTTTAAGTAGTTCGAGATTTCAAATATAGATAATAGATTTATTATAATGTATTCGATTGAAAAAATAATTACTTCTGGACCTACCTCTGAATCTTCCTCATCCCACAAATTTTGATAAGAAATTAAATTCCTCTCCCGGAAAGAGATACCACTCGCGGAAGGAGATTTCCGAAATGACCTCAGCCTACAAAATATTATTATTCATTGCGATTTCTAAATATAGTCGTGGGAATATGAATGACACATGGAAACATCCGCCCAGTTAAAGGGAATTTGATAATGCACTGCACTGCCAACGGAAATTATTATTTATGAGTAAACTCATAACATTAATAGAGGAGCTATTGTGTATATCTTTAGAGCTGTTCTTGACAGTATTATTTCATTTAAGTATTTTTTTGTTTAAATCTACACAATATATGGGACTTTTAGTTCACAGAATGACTAACTCCCATTTCAATAATTTTGAATAAAGTCATTTTAGTGATATTTAGTGATAATAATCAGACAGTAAGTTGATTCCACAGTAGATTAAATATCGAATTGAATAAAGGTATACATTTTTCACAAGAAATATCACTTAAATTAATAATCAAAATGTTGGAATTGGAGTTAGTCATTCTGTCAACTGAAAGCCTCATATAATGACGAATCCAAACTTTATAATTTAAACCTTACTTAAATATTAAAACAATGCCAAAGAAGAAATATTTTTTTTAAAGTATAAATAAAATTTAAAAGAAACCAGAATAGAAAAAATATAAATGCAAATTACATGACGCATTATGAGACAAATAGCGAATTTAATGAGAAATAATTCCAATAATTATTTATTTTTTTTACTAAACAATAAAACTACAATATAAAGGTAATAGTAAAGTTTATAATGAGTAAAATAATAGATATTGGTGAACAAATGACAAACGATTATAAAAAAAAAAAAAATTACACTATAGGATATCTCAGTTCTTAGTGGCAAAATTCTTGAGGGTGATTTTAGACAAAATTATTTGTATTATTTCCATGGCCTCGAATTATTACAGGTTAGCTGTAAGGTTTAGTTCGGTTAGGATTGCACTTCAAAAACTTTTTAATAGGCAAACATTACCAGAAAATAATTTATATTAAAAGTAAACCGGTTAATGAAAGTTAAGTGATGGGCGCACTAGATTTTGTCTCTGTTTTCGCGCCTGTCACAAATATGAGTGACAACCAGAAAATGTGTTCTGGTATTTCAGGCATGAGGAAGGATAGTATTCAGTAACGCCTCTTTCCAGTCTTAATTTAGTTTCTTAATTCAGAAAAGATTATTAATTCATTCAGTTCTTTTTTAGTCGTCACCCAAAGGTATATCGACAGTGGCCATGTTGTTTATATGTCGTTTATTGTGTCCGTATAGTTTATTATTGACAAGGAAATAAAGAGTACGTAAATGTTGGTCGAAAGTCAGTTATTGTAAATCGGTATGTAACATAACATACTATTAACTGCTGTAATTCGTCTTAAAAATTAGGAATAAAAATTTTGTAGTTTTGAAAAGATAATTTTTTTTTATTCCGTCCCACAGTTTTTATTTCGAATCTCTTATATTGGAACTTTTTGGCGGTTGGCCAACTTCACGAATCTTTGAAAAAAATATCTTTAGTTTATTAAAACAAAGTCACTAACTACATTTTTGATATAGGTTAACTTTCGAGTATGATCCATACAAAAACACTGTAAGTTCATGAATTTCACAGAAACTCTTTATACAGTGTAATTCAGGGTAAAGTGGCCAAATTGAAAAAATTAACTAATTACTTCAAAACAAGAAAAAAATTTCCTCAGAAGGTATGTCCACAACCTTATTAACTATTATTAACAGCTAAAGATTTTCGTTGTTATGCATTATTTACGTTAAACGAAATAAATAAAACCTATTTATTTGTTTTAACTACTTTATTAATTCAATTTAAACATTAACATTCATGTTAAATGTTGTTCAAGGTGAAGGTATATTCGCAAAGGCTTTGTTTAGGATATGGATTAGATAGAATACTTATATGGCCTTTTATCACTAACTGTATGAAAACTATTGGCAACATAAGAATTAATACTATTTTGAATCAGCATTGGGAACTCTTAATAACATCTATTAGTTTGTAAGAGGCTTTCACAGAGTACTCATTAATTTCTTAATAATTATTACTCTGATTTAGTTGAACATATTCCACTACAACTGAGAAGGGACATCTGGCTTCAATTAGATGGTTGTCCTGCACGTTACGGCCACTACCGAGCCATTTTGTCCACGACAATGGCTAAATGTTAATTATCCCAATCAATGGATTGGCCGTGCAGGACCACTGGCTTGGCCTGAACGCTCTCCAGACCTGACACAACTGGATTTTTTTGTTTGGGGTAACATTTAACAAAAAGTTAATGCAAGTCCGGTCAATGACCTTAATTCCTTACGAAGAAGGATAATTGAATCTCGTGAAACAATAACACATATCCAGCCCCGTTCTGCCACTGCTGCTGTTGAAGAAAGATGCCGAGCCTGTCTGTCTTAATGCTCAAGGAAATCACTTTGAACAACATTTAATATGAATTTAATGTTTACGTTTAATAACCAAAGTAGTTAGAACAAATAAAAAAGTTGTTTTTACTTTATATCACTTAAATAATTCATAACAATGAAAATCTTTAGTTGCGAATATCTCCTAAGAAAAGCGTTTGTGGACATACCTTCATAGGATTTTTTTTCTTGTTTTGAGGTCCTTCATTAATATTTTCAGTTTGGTCACTTAACCCCGAAACACCCTGTAGAAATATAGTTACAGCAAACGCACAAGTTTCTGATTTCATAAAGGGAAAATTATTCAAATTTGTTAATTATTTGACGTTATGAAATGTTACTTAATGGCTTTTTGCAATAAACCAACAATATACGCATTTATTGGCTTGAATCACCTCAATGCTATTATACTCACAATTGGCTTTCAGACCATTATTCTAGTTAATTATCTGATTGCTTATTTTTTAAATTGAAATCACCAACAATTTTCTGGTATTCACATTTTTATTTGTCAACGGCCATTGTCACTTTTTTAAATAACTGATAAATAACAATTATATGCATAATTTTAAATTACTAAACATAAAAATAAAAACATATTTCAAAACTATTAATTAATTATTTCTTGCAATTTCATGACCTTATAGTTATTTTATTCGTTGGTTTAAATTTTAGCTTTTCATTTTGACGTGTGGGCCTCAGGTCATCGTTCTGTCCAACATCAGTCCAAGGTAACATAATCTATCCGTAGGAGGAATTTGATTCTCACCGATATAAACTGGTGGTCATTTCTTAATTAATTTGATATGTTTCTGAGAGTCTTAATAGTGTATTTTATTTATTTTATAGTATTATATAGAACGTAGTTTATAAAAAAAACGCTGACTATCTGATTTTTATTTAAAACCGTTAACTAATAACGTAAACCATCTAATATTACATAATCCTAATAAATTTAAACAAAATAATCGAAACCGCTTTTGAAAATATTGTAAAAATGTGTATAATCAATTATATAAAGAGACACTTTTGATAAGCAGTTATTAACGAAAACGTTTCTGTGTCATCTTAGCCATGTGCAGACCTTGAATACGTAATTTCTGTTTCATACGATTTTCGTTTTTGAGCTAGACTGTTTATATACATACACACATAGACCATTTGGCGAGACATGATTATTTGATCTCAGGGGATCTCAAAACATGTATTTTCGTTAAAATAAAAAACTGCTAAACTCAATTACCGACCATTGAGATAAATGCACTATTTTATTATCATCATGAACAATTTTACAGCTTGAGATAGAACAATCATCATTCATAGTTAGAGCAAACAAATAAATTAACTAAAAGATATTTTTATTCATGCTCAACATTATGGAATTCGTGATCAAGAAGGACGCTTACAGCAAAATTATATCACCTGTAATTAGATTAAAAAACAAAATAAATTGTAACAGCTGATATATTACTCGACTTAGTTTCAGAAAATTATTTTAAAGAATAAAAATGAAAAGGATCTGGATGAGGGATCTACTTAAATAATGTTTCAGTAAATAAAAGCCATGGAAGGGATACTGCTGGTTATTCCTATTCCTCATGCCTCTCAAGCATTTTTATTTATTTATTTTATTTTTGTTTATTCTATATTTTTTATCTCTCATTACTACATCTGCTGATTGTCGATACTTGTAATTGACAGGTGCGAATAAATAAATGATAAAATGGGTGCAAAAAAAAAATGATAAAAAGGAGACCATTTGAAAAAGTTAATATATTGTATTTCGCTTTTTAATAGGAATTTTCCTAAATTTAACTTACGATCTATGTAAAAATAACGCTAATAGTAGTTGTTAAAAAAATAAGTGCTATTTTCACGACTTTTGCAGCGATTTTATACAAATGTATACAACTAAAATAGGATTTATTTGATGAAGTGAAGGAATTTAATCATAACGAGTTAGTGAACCATTGTTAAAATCAGTATATATAATTCAATACACTAAAACTTTTATGAAATTAGTTCAATTTAAACACTTTTGTTTTAGTTTTATCCGAATTTCTATAATCTTTCAAAAAATAGCTAAATATTTTTTTCGGGTTTTAAAGTCCATATTAATCCTATAAATATTTCACCATAGAATGTATGCTTTGTAAGTCAGGCCCAAAAACTTTTTTTCTTTTTTATTATAACTTTTTGTTCTCGAATTGTCTAGGGAATTGCGCAGGGAGTGTCTAATTTGTTACACAGGCACCGATAACCAAATCCATAAAAACCAAAAAAAAAAAGAAGCAACAAAATCGGTCCACACGTTTCCGAGAGATAACTGGCACAGTCAGACGGACCAATGTTTGAAAAAAAAAATTTTCATCAAAAATTTTGATCCGATTTCTGGCAAAATTTGGTAATTACAAAAGGTTTTTGAAACACATTCTTAATGAAGCTAAACCTTAAAGAATATATTTTTGAATTTCGGTCATATTCATAAAGGCAAAAACTCACTCAGACAATCAATGTCACACGAAGATAAGTGATAGTAAAAAAGTTTAAATATAAAATTTGTATTTTGTTCTGTATTTAGTAGGGACTATTTTTTTCTGTACTAAAATCATGTACTCTTCAATATGAAAATAAAAATAATTTTCAATAAATCAATAAGCTATGGGATCTGTCCGTTATTAAATGTTAACATGATGTTTTACGAAATCCTCTCCTGTAGTTTCCACCAACCGACGACTTCCCAACCTGAACTGACCAATTGCCGAAGATAAGAACCTCCGGACAGTGGACAAACCCCGATGAAAGAGGAGTCAATAACTCGAGAAGAGATAGATTGGCTTGGACAGAGATGGCCGTAGCGGGTTCGAAATACTTTAAAGGGCTCTAATAAATAGCAGAGAGGCGCCAGGCGCTGTCAGCTCTGGAGTTCAGCCAGGGCAGCTCTGTCGCGAGCCGTTATAGATAACACTGCTCCATATAATTGAGAGTATATATATATACATAGATAGGAAAAACTATTTTGTCATTTTCCCGTAGTTTATTGGCTGGATTGTCAATTTATTAGAATTATATGCCAGAACTTCAATTAATAAAACGTTTCTTTTTAAATAAAAACAAAGAATTTTTTAACAACTATTATTTCTAACGGTGAAATAAATACATACAATTATTTATAAGAAATAAATATAATGCAAAAATACTATGAAGTTTCAATTTTAAAATGTGAGGACGAGCATAATCTTGTTGGAATAAAATTCCTTTTCTGTTTATCAAAGCGGGATAATGTGGGCAACAACTTCGCGGACAATCTTTCCAGTTGTTCGTAGTAAAGCCCCGTGTTTTTTTTTTTTTTTTTTTTTTTTTTTTTTTTTTTTTTTTTTTGTGTGTGTGTTACCCCCTAACAACCATTTGTGACATACGGGAGGAGGAAAAGGAGGGATTATTCTAGAGGTACAACCAAACCTATTTAAATAGCAAGTCCCATTGGGTCATTTGTCAAGGATCTTCTTTTTCATTTCAGCACACAGGCCCCAAAATCACCTCATGGTCCAAGAAAAGAGCTTACAAGAAAAAAACGCTTTACTTGCAGTTTCGATTACCATTATTATTATTTTATTACAATTTTATTTTATTTATTTATAGAACATCTAAAAAGTTAAAAAAAAAAAACAGTTTTCATTCAGATCCACTTCCGCTAGCTGAATGCTCGCCTGATCCGGAAGAGCCCGACTCCCCAGACCCTGAAGACCCGTGGCTTTGTCCACTTCCGCTGTGACTACTAGAGGAACTGGAAGAGTCATCGGGCGAAGAATGTCCGCTGTTGTCAGACGTCCTGGAATAGTTTTTCTGAATTTGCCCAGAGTTAAATTCATGATGTATGGCATGGTTCCAGTTGTTAGTTTCCGAAGAATCAACATGCACAATGTGGTGTCCATGCGATGGGTGATGTCCAGAGGTGCTGACGTCACCGTGAGAACTTCCTCCACTTCCGGTAGTGTGTGTTGTAGCACCTCCGTGGACCCTGTGCCACCGCCCTCCGCTGTATACCCATCTCCATCCAGTGGTATCTTGTGGAGTATGCATTGTGGAGCTATGGTCAGGGTGTTCGGTGGTGTGAGATGTAGAAGTATGGTCAGTATGTTCTGCGGAGTGAGATGTAGAGGTATGGTGAGGGTGTTCCATGGAGGTATGGTGAGAGTGTTCTGAGGAGTGAGATGTGGTGGCGTCAGGAAAGACAACGGGTGCAGTATGATGTTCGTTATGGTTCCTAGGATGGACTGGTACGGTACTAGGTGGTCTTGGTCTTCTGTGAGGTTCTCCGAAGTGGACAGTACTTATGGGACGTCCCCTGTAGAGGTAGCTGTTGTGGGTGGTGTGTTCTTCTGGTTCATTCCTGACGGTAGCAGTGACGGGAACGTGGGGGTTGATGTGGGTAGTTGTTTCTGGATCAACGGTACCCTCCTGTGCCCAGGTTAGACTGGCGAAAGCTGAGACAAATTATATTAAAGATTAATAAAATAATAAGTTAAATAAATTATTTTAAAATATTAGTTGGTCCGTGAAAATATTCGCATTATTTATTGCTCAGTATTATTTTTTTTTCATTTTTCCAATTATACAAAAAACTATAACAGCATGAATTATGACTTGTGACGGTTGATTTGACAAATGGCTTTTTTCTGTAAAATTCGAAGGACTAATTGTAATGATAGAATGGTTTAAAATAATTGCTTAAAATTAACGATTACGTGATAGGGTCCATCAATTTTGGATTATTATTTTCAATAATGAACCATTGTAATCGAACAAAAAATTCAAAAACTTAACCCCCTCTCTAAATTTGATGTTTTACGTTTCAGGATAGGTAGAATTCGAAAAACGAAAATATTCGACTGATTTTTTTCAAATTTGGATTTAAAGTCAGAGGTCACCCAAGGATGAACCTCCTTCATCGACAACTATATCTGGCCTTTCCTTTCAAGATAGCAGTCGGAAAAACTGCGTTGCAATAGACTGTAGCGCCTAAATGAATGTACCGATTTCGTTTAAACTTATCTAAATTATTTTTCCCAATGCCCTTTAAATGTATCTATATAACATACTTAACGAAAAGAAGCTGGAAAAAAAGATACGAGGGATGGTAAAATTAGATTCCGAATAACTCAAAAAGTATACACTTTTTTGTGGTTATTTAAAAGTTTACGAAATTTCCTTTAAAAAAAAATTCGTTAAAATCGGACAATTAGGAGCAAAGATATGGTCTCTAGATGTTTTTTATATGTTCTACTGCAAAGGTTATATCCTTTGTTTTGGATTTTGATTTTTAAATGTGTTACTGAATTAATGTTATTTTTTTTAGCAAATTACTAATGATGAAAAATAAATGTTTAGGCCAATAATTGGGATCACGTTTTATTTATTTTTCTTTGTCACTAGAAAGGAAATGTTACTTTAGATGTTTAATTGTTTGGAAATAATAAACCTTTATATAAACAAAAAACCTATACCACTTACAACTCATGAAGGGTCTTGGGTTCAGTACTATATAAAAAAGGTACTGTTTCTTGGTCAACGGTTGTGCAAGGAGGTGATTTGACGGAGATCAAGCTCAACCACCAGGTTTTCTCCTTTAATTAAGAATACCCACTTTATAGATTGTGTCCCAGGAGGATCTTCCCACGACCAATAAAACAAAATAAATAGTTTGTTTGATATGAATCGGGATTCGAACCTGGAATCTTGACCATTGGAAGCTCAGCGCCCTACCAATGAGCTATCCAACTCCTAAAAAAATCTGTTTATATATTTTTATATATTTAATAGCTGTAACTTCGTTAATAGTTGTCTGAAATGAACGATTTTTATTTAGTTTTGTAGGAAATTTCATCACCTTTAAAAAAAAGGCTAATAAAGGCCAATTTTTAGAACCGTTTGAGCCGTTTTTGGGCTGCAATCTATAGAAAAACATGTTTTTCATTTATTGTGCACGGAGCATCCAATTTGTGTCACAGGCATCAGCAGTCAAAACCTTACAAAATAAAAAAAGAAGCAACAAAATCGGTTCACTAGTTCCTGACAAAATCTTGGCACATAAAGACAGACAGGCAGACAGACCAATGGCTAAAATTTATACATTTAAAATTTATACATATACATATATATATATATATATATATATGTATATACATATACATATACATACATATACATATACATATATACATATACATATATACATATACATATACATATACATATACATATACATATACATATATATATATATATATATATATATATATATATATATGTATATACATATATACATATATATACATATATATGTATATATACGTACGTATAAATATTTATTTATTTATATCCATATAACTTTCAATTGGATTTAATTATTTTCTCAATATATTTAATATTTATTAAATAGTTAATATTTAAATTTATTAAATACATGACTTACCTATAAGAAGGAACGGGACGAGCTGTACAGTTGCCGCCATTGGAAGGTCTAAGGATATCAGTGACAGTAGCTTGCCATTTATATTGTTACTATCTCAATTATAATTGACATTCGTCTTGTCGCTATTATCAATATTCGGCGTCCTTAAATATCAGTCTTAGCGTGGATTTTCCTCCTTCTTGTGCTTTAATTTCTTCTTAATGATATATTATGTCAATAATCAATAATTAGTGTTGAAACTTTTTTTCCGGCTTATTGTGCGGCGTTCCGTAATCTTCTAAAACAGACACACTTTAGACTTTATTCTTCAGCTCAAGTTTATATTTGGGTTTTGCTTTAAGTTTTTATTTAAGTAGTGTACTTCATGCCTCCTTCTTTTCTCTTGGCTTCCTATTTCTTGTACTTGTTTCAGCTTCTGACAGAGTTTTATTATAATCACAGTGTTCATTAAATCACATATGGTCCTTGGTAGCTTCTTAGTTATTTGATAGAGTTCTGTTATCTCTCGATCAATACATGGTCAATCTGTTTTTAACGTCTTGAGGAACTACCCGGGTGTAATTGGTAGATGTCCTTAAGCAGAGACATGGTACCATGATGAACAAACACTTAGCTGCAGTCAGATTAATACATCTCACTTAATGAAGTTTGGGCGTCAGTTTCCAGTTCTTATTTCGGTGAAGATTATGTTCGAACAAAGAAAAATAAATAAAAAAAACTAAGGTGTGTGTTTTAGATAACACGATAGAAGTGGAAACAACAACAAGGCGAGATTAATAATATGAAATATAAATTATGAATAATATCTTATTATAAAGAGGATGAAATGCTGAACATTTCTCTCGCTTATATCATGCAGATCCGATTTTTAGTATCTGAAATATATTAATCCATATGTTCAACTTTTTTTTTTTTTTAATGAAATTTACAACTGTATTACATTAAAAATACAACAAGTAAAAGTGACATTGGTAATATGACATGTACAACATGAAGAGAAACTACCCATTAATAGAATTCAAATTAAAGTTCTATATTAGAAGTTCCCGAGGCCATCTTCTTTTCAGAAGCCTCGGAGGGTTATAAGGAATAGAAGAGGAAGCAAGATTGGAAACGAGAGGATTCGGATGGTTCTGCAGTTTGTTATGGAAGGATAGTTGTCTGGATTGGGCAAAATCGGAAACATATGGAACTTAAGGTCATTATGGATGATTTTATTTGTGATAAAGTAAGGAGCGTTGAAGATTTTGGATTGTAAGGATTGGATAACGTATTTTCAACTAAACTCGTTATCATTAGATTTTCGATACTATTCTTTTCCTTATCGCCTTCCTAATACGCACATTTTTTAATTATAGCCTATTACAGAGAGGATAAAATGTTGAACAATTTCCTGGCATACAGTATGAAGGCCCAATTTTTAGCTTTTGAGATATTTTAATTCATATGTAAAAACATAAGCCGATTTTACCCGAGCGTTAAAACTTCGAAAATATGACTGATCAATCTAATTCACTCTCGAAAAAAGAAGTTTTCAACTTCAAAAAATAAATCTTCCAGTTACGAAACTTCGTACAAAAAAATATGTTTTTCTTTATTTTCTCATCCTATCAATTTCGAATCAAAATATTTGAAATATATTAATAGAGTGTATAAAAAAAAAGGACTGTTTTATCGAATTCAAGATTTCATAGGACTATAAATATTTTAATCCTATTTAATACTTACCAATACTTACTAATCCTTTTACACCATTCTCTAAGCTAGTATAATCCCATTCGATTATTTCAAAAAAAGCCTCTGTTTAGTTATTTATTTCAAAGAAGAAACGTGACACTGTCCTACTAAATTTATTTCGTAATCTTATGGCTAGAATGGAAAAAAAAAATTAACAGCCCCTGAAGCAGCTCGTGAAATTATTAAAGGGAAGGGGTATAAATTAAAGGAAAGGGGTCCTTGACCAGAGCACTGCGCGGCGTTGGTTAGAAATATTTAGCAGTGGAGATACGACGTTGGAAAGGAAGAAGGGTTCCAGACGATCATTAATCGATATTGATGAGATTCTCCAAGAAGCTGTTAAATCAAATCCGTCCACAACTATTCGCAAACTTGCCAAGGAATATAATAACGAAGATACTATTAGTCGCCATCTACTAAAAAATAAAGCTGCTTTTCCGGTAGCTGCAACGGGATAATTTAAATGCATGCTTTGCGTTTTTCTTTTTTGGAATTATGAAGATGTTATTCATCACGAAGTTGTTCCTGATGAATGCTCTGTGAATTCTGAACTATACTTTGAACAACTGGAAAGATTGTACGTGAAGTTGTCAGAGAGTTATCCTGCTTTGTTCAACCGAAAAGGAATTTTATTTCAACAAGATAATGTTCATTCTCTACATTGTCCATCCGTTGGGAGTACTTTTTGATTAATACTAGAAAAATGACCCATTTTTATTATTTCGACCTTTTTAAATCGTGAAACTTTATCTGGTTCCCTGTATTGGTACGTAAGTCATGCGGTTTTTTTTTTTTTTTTCTCTTTGATAGGAGTGTATTTCCCAGATGAGTTTCTCTTTGAACTCAACTAACCATACCTAATTCATAACGCCATAATATCTTTACCTATTCGTGGTGAAGTTGATTACATATTTCCTTACTTCTGGACCAACTTTTAATCCAATGTTATTTAATTTTTGAAATTTTTCTCTACCTGTTTTTTTAGTATTATATATTAGTATCCTCTGAACAAATTACCTTTCGTATAACTAATGATATTTTGTGATATTTTACACTACTTGCTCGTCTCATAAAGCTTCGGAAAGTACCAGGATGTAGCGTTTGGTTAGTAATATAATAATATTATTATATTATTAAGTATTTTTTAAATTATATTTAATTGTAAAATTTTCATAATTACTGCAGTTGCCTTATTTTTATGATATTTATCTTCTTAGAACCATTGCAGGTAAAAAATATATTATTAAAGTTACAAGTTATAAAATTGTAATTAAAAAATAATAAAATATATAGTTTTTCAAGGAAGGCAAAGGGAATTAAATTGCGATTAGCTGCAATTAAATCGACAATAACCAATGGAATGGGCATTAAAAGTATTATTGCGTTCCTTCAGAATCAGCTGGTGGAAGCCATCTGGCAATTGCTGCTATAGCAACTCAATAAATCCAGTTCAGAGCTCTTTTACGTCTAATTTATTATAGTCTACGCTGCAGACCTCCTTTTACCAAATTATATACATCCGTCTAAAATTTCACGGATGACTTAAATAAATTAATTTAATCAGGGACGAAATACTCATGAACAACTATTTAGTTTACACTTGAGTCGTAAGATAATTTCATGATTTGATCGAAAAAAAAGGTGGCCTACAACAATATTGAGCCGTTTGGCTTATACGACTTCGCTATTTCGATACACTAGTGGATCCAGGATTTAATTTTCTTTTTTGGGGGGAGGCTTCAGCCCGGAAGATTATCTTTTCATATACTTATAACGATAATTAATTTGAAAAAAGAAGAAGGAAATTAACTACCTATATGAAATGGTGTTAAGTGGTTCTTGAAGTCCTATTAAATGTAATTAAACGAACAAGAATACTTTAAGAGATAGCTTTTAATATTTATTTCTGTAAAACATGATTATATTTTACCATTTTCTGGGGGGGGAGGAGCTTCAACCCGAAAGCCTCCCCCTTCCGTAGATCCGCCTGTGTTTCGATATGTTTAGGGCTAAGGTCATTCCAAACGGTTTATTATCAGTCTAATAATTTTGTGAGATACCTTTTTTCTCGATTTTGTGATCAAATCGACTGATTCCACTGCAGATATAAGATATAGACAGAATCTGTGTTTGAGGAAACCGCAATATACTCACCCTAAACGCCGAGAAGACGAAAGCTATCCTTATCGGATCTTCCGCACTCATGAAATCTAATCCTGTACCCAATATTCTCCTAAGTAACTCACCTATTTCGTTCCAAAGTTTCGTTAAAAACCTATTTGTTGTTATTTTGGTTTTATTTTGATCGAAACCTCTCCTGGAAACCACACATCTCCCAAATTTCCCGTCGTACTATTTCTACACTAAAACAGTTCAGCCGTCAACGCTATCTCCTTCCATACAAACAGTATTTAATCTTTGATTCGTTTACAACAAGCCCTCTTAGCTGTCTTTTCTAATTGACGAAATGCTTGCTTCATTGTAGCATTAGACCTGGCAACAATATCAAAATCATCGACGTATCCAAATATCTAGTCGGTTTTGTTGAAATCGTCCCTGTTGTTTGTGTTCCGAATTCTCTTATTGCTCTTTCTTCAGCAAGATTAAAAATCTTCTTGTCTAACTCCTACACTGGAATCAAATTCTTTAGACATGTCTGATCCAATCTGCGCTATGCAAATCGTCTCTTTCATCATCATTTGGCGAGCCATGTTAGTTTGGAGGAAATATTAACGACATACAAAGTCTGATACAACCCTCGTTGCCCTAAGCGGATATGGCTCCTACGAAAGAAATAATTTTAGTTATTGATATATATGTATATTTACTTTTAGTAATCTGCTGTTTAATTTATTTTTATTTATTGTAAATCGAGTGTGAATGAGATACTCTATCAGTATTACTAATATCCTTAATTGTGACAAAATGTAATATTACTCAATAAAGAAATATTTAATAATAAAATTGCAATATATTTCGGTTCACATGTCATCGTCCTCGATATACAGCATTATGATTCGTCATAATATTTAAAAATTAAGATTACTTAATGCACACTTTTGTTGAATAACATCAAGCAGATTATAACGCTAATATAGAATAATATCTCCTTAGTAGAGAATAATATTTAGAATAACGGACTTCAACGGGCACAAAAAACTTTATATAGACAGTGGACCGATTTTCAGCAAATGAGTAGATAACTTAGGTTTTGTGATTTTTTAAGTAAATCGTGTTTGTTGTTGAACAGGAAGCGATAACTAAAAAATTATTTAAGGGTAAACAAATATTTACGGGTAAATAAAACTTTAATATTGTGATGAAAAAATTCCTCAATTCATAACATGAAACATTAACCTAATTTCCATTTTC